AGATTCTTAAGCACTGGACCACGAAGGAAGTCCCCAGTTCTTCCAGTTTTGTCATTTCCTTCTGCTTCTCAGCCCCTACCTGCCCACCTTAGGGTCAAATATCAGCCCTGCAACTTGACAGCTGTCACTGGGAGCCTCAGTTTCCACTCCCCTTTGTATCTGTCAAAAGGAGGCATTAGTAATCAGTGAAGGGATGGAAAGTCCTGTGCAGCTGAGAAGTATTGCTATCCTTGACCTCTCCCCTCCATCCAGCCCCCATCCTGCCCCATCTCCATAACTCCAACTCTCTCCTGACTCCCCCACTCCCCACACACACCACGACCCCTGTCCTGGCATCAGGCAGTCATAAACTGGAAGTGAAAGTCGGGGGAGACTCCATGCTTGCCAGGCTTCTTCGGAATACCATCGGAGCCCTGAACACCTCCTCTGAGATGGTGGTGGACTCAAACAACATGCGTGAGTGATGCTGAAAGTTTGGATCAGAGGAATTGATGGCTGGGGGCCAGGGGAGAGGAGGCAGGCGGGGTGTTTCCAAGACAAAGAGTTAGGGGACTGGGCCTTGGCTATGGTGAAATGGGGGTCGGTGTGTTTGCATTGGAGAATCAGAGTAGGAAACATCAGGTCAAGCTTGAGGGATTGGAGGATGACAGGTTTGGGTCAGAGGAGTCCAGAGGGTCCCCCAAAGTCCCAGCCCTCTGGAGCAATGCCGTTCAATAGAACTTTCTGCCATGATGGAAAATTTCTACGTCTGTGCCATGTTGAACAAATAGCTTCCTGGGCCTAATGACTACCATACTGCAACAAAGCTCTGCAGGGTGAGGGGCAGGCAGGAAGACAACAGGGTAATCAGAGACCTAACCCACACCCCATGAACGTGGGGAATTCAGAGCAGAGTTGCGGCCAGCCGGCCCGGGCCATACCCTGACAGGCCCGCCTCCTCCCCCAGCCTGCCTGCCCCAGCCCGTGCCCCTGAGCACCAGGGCCTATTTGAAAGCCGCACTACCAAGTGGCCTCCTAGTGTGTCTCTGCCTGCTCCAGGCTTTCGGCTACCGGCTCCGGAGGGTCATCGCAGCATTCTACTTCCCCAAGGTGTGCCCCCCACAACCTCTCCACCCCTGGGTGCGCACACACTGGCCTGCACCCAGCTCCCCATCAGCCCCACCTCGGGGGATGTCTTCCTCCTCTGTGCTGTCTCCTTGGCCCCAGCGAGAAAAGAAGCGGGTCCTGTTCCTCTACAATGACCTCCTGAGGAAGAGAGCAGCCTTCACCCAGCTGAGGAGGGCTACCATCCTGAGGCGGGCAAGACAGCAGAGGGCTCCAGTGAGTCCAGGCCTGCGCCTCTGGGTCTAAGAACTGGAGTGGGGGGGGGGTGGGCATCTCCCCTTAGTCCCTCCAGCCCCTACCAAGGTCCCAAGTCTACTGACGCTCAGTGAGTTCTGATGGCAGGCATGCAAAGGCCTTGGTCATCCAGTGCCTGGAGGCCAAGGCTGTGTCCATATCTGTACCCAGTATTCAGCCTAGCCTGAGATCCTAAGTGGACCATAGGGCTGTGCTGTGCGTGGTTACGCAGCCATGTCTGACTCTTTGCAACCCCATGGACTGTAGTCTGCCAGGCTGCTCTATACATGGGATTCTCCAGGCAAGAATACTGCAATGGGTTGCCATGCCCTCCTCCAGGGGATCTTCTCAAGCCAGGAATCAAACCCAGGTCTCCTGAATTGCAGGCAGATTCTTTACTATCTGAGCCACCAGGGAAGCCCAAGAATACTGGAGTGGGTAGCCTATCCCTTCTCCAGGGAATCTTCCTGACCCAGGAATCGAACCGGGGTCTCCTGCATTGCAGGTGAATCCTTTACCAACTGAGCCACCAGGGACACCTGGACCATAGAGAAGCAGGCAAAAAGGAGGAATCAGATTTGATACAGTTGGGTCAAAGAAAAGCAAGACGGGTTCATCAGAAACAAGGGGCCCAAGGCAAAGCCACAGGTTCTTCTGAGAGGACTTCAGATTAGAAGCTCAGTGCTGTTCCAGCAGAGGGGGGGTGGGAGGTGTGGAGGGTGTGAGGAGGTGGCATAGGTGAGGGGATTCAGGTGGACTGGGGATCAGGGAGGCCTCATGAAGAGGCATGTGGTGTACAGAAAGAGCACACAGTCAGCAGAACCAGGCTTCAGTCCACACACCCTCATTAAGCTTTGTAACCTTGGCCATGGTCTTCACTGGACCTCAGTTTTTCCCTCTGCAGAATGGGGAGGTTGGACAACTCTATGAGGCCTGCTCACTAGAGATCAGTAATAGAGTGGTGGTCAGGTGTGAGGCTCTGGTGCCAGAGAGATTTTTTTTGTTTAATATAAAGATATCTTTTTTTAAAAAAGATATTATTTACTTATTTGGCTGTGCCAGGTCTTAGTTGTGGCATGCAGCATCTTTAGTTGCGGTATGTGAAGTCTTAGTTGCAGCAGGTGGGATCTAGTTCCCTGACCAGAGATGGAACCCAGGCCTCCTGCATTTGGAGTATTAGCCACTGCACCACCAGGGAAATCCCTAGAAAGCCTAGGTTTGAGTCCTGGCCTCTCCCCTTATTACTGCGACAATTGTGTGATCTTGAGCACTGACTTAAATGCTGAGTCTTGGTTTTTCCCTTCTGTAAAATGGACTTAACTACTCCATCTATTTGTAGTAAGGATTAAGTGAGTTTCACTCATTTAATCACAGTGCAGGTGCATAGCAAGTTATATATATATATGCGTTAGTTGTCATTGTCTGAAAATGATCACCTCTCCAAGCCATCAGTTTTTTTAAGCTGAAAAGAGATCTGCCTTACATAGTTATTGTTTGGATTGAATTAATTTACTTATAGTTTCTTGGTGAAAGTGATATCGCTCAGTCATGTCCGACTCTTTGCGACCCCATGGACTGTAGCCTACCAGGGTTCTCCGTCCATGGGATTTTCCAGGCAAGAGTACTGAAGTGGGCTGCCATTTCTGTTTCCAGGGGATCTTCCTGACCCAGGGATTGAACCTGGGTCTCCTGCATTGCAGACAGATGCTTTACCGTCTGAGCCACCAGGGAAGCCCCCCAGTTTCTTGGTACGGGGCCCAATATCATTTAAAAACACAAGGAGCAGCCACTCTTATTTAATCAGCCCTAAAAAAGCTCATAAAAGTGAGAGACCATGTTTGCTTAAATTTTTCCTCCAGCTCATAGACACCCCCCCCAACTCCCATGACATGCAGTAGAGGCTGGATGAATGTCTGATGAACATACTGATACTATGAGAGGAGGTGAGCTCCATGTCCTTTTAGTCCATCGTCTTGATCCAGATGTCCTAAGAAACTCACTCAAAATGAACATAATGTGATTCCATGACCAGATCATGGAGTTAACTGGATTTTGATGGGCAGATGGAAATGTAAAGGGCATTCATTCCCAGTTGAGGAAGCAGAATGTGCAAGGACTCAGAGTCCAAAGGAAATGCCAACCAAGTGCAGGGCTTGAAGTCTAAGGAGGAACCGGCACAGAACATGTAAAGTTCAGGGAGAGGTGAGTTGGAGCAGAGGCTAGAAAGGGACCAGATTGTGGACGGCTCAGAGGCCAAGGCCAGGAGTCCTGCCTTTGCTTGGCAGGCAGTGGGGCCCCTGGAGTTTCTTGAGCAAAGAGTGACCTGATAAGGTGGCCTGAGAATTCCTGGAAAACGTGTGGAGAGAGGGTGGGAGACAGAGGGAGCATAATGAGCCAGTCTTGTAATTTGAAATCAGGGTACCTGGATCCAGACAGGTTTTACTGTTTAGTCTGTGCCTTTGAGAAAGTCATTTAACATTTATGAGATTCAGTTTTCTCATCTGTAAAGTAGGAGAACACGGTAGTGATAGTCTTATCTGCCCTACTCACTTCTCAGCCTCACGGTGAGGATCAAATAAGACGATTTACAATTTACCGGAGAGTACATGTGATGATGGTTGTGGCTGTTACCGGCTGCATCCTCTCACTCCCCACCACGAAGTGAGGGAGGCTCTCCAGGACCGACTTCCATAGAACCCTTGCCCTCCAGGGCTCTTCTTTGCAAAATCCAGCTTCCTCCAACATATGGGCATAGTCAGGTCTTGAGACTTCAGATAAGAAGCGCTTCTCCAAAAAGAAGCGCTGTTCACCTCCCCATCTTTCTCGCCTGCTCCCCAACCGGCTCTAAACCCGCCTTGCTTCTCAACAGCGCCGCCATCTGGTTGACATCCTGCACCGCTGCTGCCCGCTCTTGCGCCCCTTGCTGCGCCGCCGATGCGTGGTGTGCCAAGCACCCGAGACGCCCGAGTCCTACGTGTGCCCTACACCGAACTGCGAGGCAGTGTACTGCCGCTCGTGCTGGAATGACATGCGGCAGCGGTGCCCGGCCTGCACACCCCGCGAGGAGCTCTCCTCCTCCGCCTACAGCGACAGCAACGATGATGCTACCTACGCGGAATGAAGGGGAGTCTTACTCGCTCTCCCATCCGCTCCTTCCTGTTTAATAAAATGCTTCATACACTCCTGCTGCCCGCGCTTCGCAGGCGTCCGGTACCGGAGGGTGAGCTAGGCAGTCGGGAGAACCAGCCCACCTGATCCGGCAGAGCCCGGCTGCGGTCGTGAGAGCGGAGGGCAGTGAAGCTGCTACGAAGGCGTCCTGACCCAGGGCCGGGTGGAGGCGCGACTCCCAAGCCGGTCGGACCGGGCCTTGGCTCCCATCCTGCAAGCAGCCTGAAGTGGCTGTGCAGAGCAGGGTGAGCAGTGCGGCAGTCGGAGTCAGGGGCTGGATCCACACTTCTTTGGAACCCGGCGCACGGTGGGGGTGGAGCCCTTCCAGGGGCGGGGCCTCGGGGCGGGGCCTGGCTCTGGCCGGGTGGGTGGAGCCTGGGAGGGGCCTGTGGCTGCGCCTGGCTGCGAGGTGCGAGAAGCCGACCCGGCAGCCGCGGCTCCTCGGCGCCCGGCCCAGCACCTGCTGCCCTCGCCCGGCCCCGGGCGGCGCTGCCATGCGCCTGGCGCTGCTCTGGGCCCTGGGGCTCCTGGGCGCGGGCAGCCCACTGCCCTCCCGACCGCTCCCAGATATAGGTGAGTGCCTGGCCAGAAGTGGGCCGGGGGTCGCCCTGGGAGGACGCACGGGGAAGTCGGGAGACCCTGGGGTCCTGGGGTCGGCCGGAGACCCCGAGAGACCCCATTCAGGGCACAGCCTGCCCTCGTCTGATGTTCTGGGCCGAGGACCCGGCGACGGGGCGATGGAGTGGGGAGGGAAGGTGGAGGGATGCCGGCGCCTCTGGGCCGGTCATCCTCTGCAGGGTCCCCGCGGACACTTTCAGGCCCCGGGACCAGGAACCGCGGGGCCTGGCCCAGCACCCCCTCAGGATCGCGGTAGTGGGGCTCTGCTCCCCGGGACTGACGTCTTCGCTCCTCTGGGGCCTAGCTGATCGTTCCACCCGGTGCCAGGGAGCCGAGTAGGCACGGCTCCTAGGGTTTGGCGAAGAGGATACTTCCTGGCCCCTCATCCCAGGCCTGAGAGGCCGGCACCCCTCACCCTGGTGCTGATCCCACCAGAAAGCTCACCGAGCGGGAGGGGGCCGAGGAGGAGCCAGGAATGGGAGAGTTGGCCAGGAAAGAAGCTGGGACACCAACCCCTCCTTGGAACTTTCACTTCCCGCTGCTGTCTTGGGCTGGGGGCCGAGAGGGCAGGCGGGGGTGGAGTGTCCGGAGGAGAGAGGGCCATTTGGTGGTGGGGGGGGGGGGGACTCCGGGAGGAAGCAGAGGCTTGGGGAGCGGGTGTGCCTAACTGGGCATGAGGGGTATTTAGGGAGGGGGTGTTTGCAATGCTCACCCAGAAATGGGCGTTCCCGGCATCTCTGATGTGAGGAAAGGGAGGGTGAGTGGGCACTGGGCCACAAGGCTTCGCCCAGTCCTGAGAGGGGGCGTTCCTGGGGAGGAGGGGGTTGGGAGGGAGTGGGAACAGGGGGAGGGTCCCTGTGAGAACCTGGGATTAGTCTGAGGGGGACAGGGAAGGACAACAGGCTGGGCATGCTGAACTTCTTTCTCTGGGGACTTGAGGATGGGTTGGTGGGATGAAAGGAAAAAACTGGAGAGAAGCCCCCACCCTCTAGTATTCTCCTTTAAGTCCCAGAATGCAGTGTAGGAGCCCTTCAAGCAGAGAAGGGCCTTGATGGGTTGGGAGCCAGGTGGGTCAGAGGGCAGCAGCCACCTCCAGCCCTGGCGCTGATTCTCTCAGTACTCTTTTGGGGTGTCCTGGGAACCCTGCAGGTGTCACTGAGGAGACGCAGGCGAGGCCAGAGAGGGCCCAGAAAGGACCTCTGGAGCCCCGGATCCTTTGGAACAACCTCACGCTCAGCCAAGCAGCGGTGCTTCAGGTGAGCCTCTCTCTCCCCTCAAAGAAATAAGTTCGCACCCCCCACCACCCTGAGTAACCAGGTGTCTCCAGGCAGAGGCAGGCTGAGAGCGGGTGAGTGTACTTCGCAGCAGCATGGCCATCCCGGGCCTGCCGCCTCTCCCTGCCCACCCCAGCACCTGGCTTCACTTATCTCCCTCTCCCGTCTACACACACATCTGTCTGCCTCAGCCCCACCCAAGTCGTCCATCTCCACTGAGGCCAAACTTGCTCTCTTGGTCTCATGTGGTCGGTTCTCTCAGTGGGGGGACTTGGAGAGGGTCGGGCCCCACCAGACACCCTCCCCTCCCAATTCTAAAGCTGAGTCAGAGGAAGGGCTGGGGCCTGCACTGGGCCCTCCATGATGCTTCCTCTCTGGGCAGGAAGCCGAGAAGGGGCGGCTCAGATACCTTCCTTGACCTCCCCACACAACCCCCCAGAACAATGCCCCAGGCCAGGCAGGGCTTCCTGGCCCCTCCCTCGGGATCCCCCCACCAATGATCTAATCGTCGGTGCTCTCCTAAGGGCCTGAGGTTTTCTGGTTAGAGAAGATAGGAGTTACAGACAGGGCCAGGGAGGTGACATGCCCTCTGGTGCCCACAGACCAGTCTGCCTGAGGCTTTGCGGATCAAACTGGAATTGGATGGTGAGAGTCATATCCTGGAGCTGCTGCAGAATAGGTAATAATTATAGCAGTAATGTTACTAATAACACGACTAACAACTCATATAGCATCTACGAGGTGGTACTACGATGTGGTGCTTAGGTACTAAGAGCCTGAATGCACTAAATCTTCATAACAACCTCTATCAAGTAGATACTATTATGTATCATTATTGGCCTCATAGGTGAAGAAGTCAAGGCACAGAGACATTAAATAACTCCCCCAAGGTCACACAGCTGGTGGGTGCTAAAAACTAGATTGGAACTCAGATAGCCTGGGTTTGTAGCCAGTCTATGGCCCAACCACCATACTCTGCTACTCGAGGGGAAGCAGGAAGGTCGGGGGGATTGCCTAGCCCCCAGCTGCCCCTCTACCCTCTCCAGGCCTCAAGCTGGCACTGCACCATCCTAAGAGGCAGCTGACCCTGCCCTCCTTTTTCTTCATTCTGCAGGGAGCTGGTCTCAGGCCGCCCAACCCTGGTGTGGTACCAGCCTGATGGCACCCGGGTGGTCAGTGAGGGACATACTCTGGTGAGTCAGGCCATCTTGTGCCCTGTTTCTGGTCCGAGGGTATAAGGGAAGGGGCAACTGGAAGGTGCCATCCCTAGAGCATGGGAGGACACTGCATATCCTCACCAACAAGCTAGCCTCCTGGCTCAGATCTGGCCTGGCCTCCAGGTCAGCACTCATGTTTCTCTGCTGTAGGAGAACTGCTGCTACGAGGGGAGAGTGCATGGCCACGCCCACTCCTGGGTCTCTCTCTGCACCTGCTCTGGGCTCAGGTACAAGGGGTCTATTCCATGAAGGTGGAGAGAGTGCGGGTAAACAGGTATAGAGCTGGTAAGCTTTCTGACTTCCTGCATCTTCGCATAGGGGCTTAGTGATCCTGTCCCCAGAGAGAAGCTACTCCATGGAGCTGGGGCCTGGGGATCTTCAGGGTCCCCCAGTCATCTCCCGGATCCAAGACCTCCTGCTGCCACGCCACACTTGTGCCCTGAGCTGGCCTGCATCTGTGCTCACACAGGCTCTACCGGAGCACCCCCTGGGACAGCGTCACACTCACCGGGTGAGGAGGAAAGGCAGAAGGGCTGGGCTTCTGTCATCCCCGGGCTTGGCCCCCTGGCCCTCAGAACTATTGGCTCATAGTAACGACAGTTCCTGCTCATGGAGCGATTTCGCAGTACCAGGCACTTTGTAAACATTAACTCCTTCACTCACTCCAGCAACCCTGGGGGGTAGGTGCTATCCATAGCTCTGTTTTAGTGAGAAAACTGGCTCTAAGAGGTTAAGTGACTTGGTCAAGGCCATTCAACTAATACATGGTATTTCCAGGATTTGGATGCAGGCACTTGACTCAAACCCTTCATCTGTCTTATGATCCAAATGCAGAGAGCTCTCATTTGGATATAGCAAATACATAGTTACTGATCATCAAGCAGTAAGAACTCAATTTATTCAATAGGGATAATGGAACTACTTACCTTATAGGATTACTGTGAAGATTAAATGTATCTACATACATATATATATATGTATGTAAATGCTTAGAACTCCAATCTGTCTGGCATATGTTAAGTATTTGATGGTGTCAGCTTTTTTTTTTTTTTTTCCCTAATTTGGAAAAAGCACTGAGTTTGAAGCCAGAAAAGCAGGGCTCTACTCCCAGCTTCATAACCTATTCTTAGTCCACTTGGGCAAGTCCCCGGCCTCCCAGGTTCTCCGTGGTTCCCTGTAAAATGGACTCTTCACTCTCTCTGCTTTGACCACACAGGGTGGGTGTGGACAAAGCCTGGCCAGTGGGCGTGGCTGCGGGTGGTGACTTGTGGGTGTGTCTGATGCTCCTTCCTCCTGTCCACAGTGGAGGCGGGACGTGGTGACAGAGACCAAGATTGTTGAGCTGGTGATTGTGGCTGACCATTCCGAGGTGAGCTGGCCAGCCCCTGGCTGCCCTCCCCTGACCTCTGCCAGCCGTGCTACCTTTCCTGGTCACCTCTCTTGACCCGCAGGTCCAGAGGCACCGGGACTTCCAGAGCCTACTGAACCGCACCCTGGAAGTGGCCTTCCTCCTAGACACAGTGAGTATCAGGCCTGACAGCATCCTGATGGCCCCAACCTTGGGAACTCCTCTCCTGAGTCCCAGTTCTCTTCCAGTTCTTCAGGCCTATGAATGTCCGGGTGGCACTAGTGGGCCTGGAGGCCTGGACCCAGCACGACCTGATAGAGATAAACCAGAACCCAGGTCTCACATTAGACAGCTTCCTCCACTGGCGCCGGACAAACCTGCTGCCTCGGTTGCCCCACGACAGTGCCCAGCTGGTGACGTAAGACACCCCCCCAGGATCAGACAGCAGGGTCTGGCTCTGCCTTGGCCTGGCCAATTTCATACCCCAACTCCCTCCGTGAGGGCCTGAAGCTCTGGCCACTTTTACTTTGGAGCCCTAACCTTTGACCTCTCAATCCCACAGCGCCACTTCATTCTCTGGGCCCACGGTTGGCATGGCCATTCAGAACTCCATCTGTTCTCCTGAGTTTTCAGGAGGTGTGAACATGGTGAGCTATGTCCACATCTCCTCCCCATTCCCCATCCAAGTCCTACAGCTGTGGTACCATATATTCACTGAAACCCCAAGCTGAGGGTATAGAGGGCAGGGGTGCATGGAAGGTGCCCCTCGCCTGTGGCCAGCTCATCATGTCTTCACCTAGAAGCTCTGCCCATTTCTTGGGGGAGGGGGGGACAGCTGAGGCGCAAAGGACCTTGGTGCTCTCCCAGGGCCATACAGTGAGATATGGGGAACAGAGCTGGGCTAGAGCCCAGGTTTCCTACCACCCAGGCCTGGGCTCTCCTCCTGGTTTAGAAGCACTTAAGGAGGGAGGCGGGACCTGCTCAGGGCCCAAGAGGTCAGTTGAAGAGAGAACAGGAGCAATCAGGCTGGTGCTCGACCTGGGCTATCCCCTCCCCAATGACAGGACCACTCCACGAGCATCCTGGGAGTCGCCTCCTCAATAGCCCACGAGCTGGGACACAGCCTGGGCCTGGGCCATGACTCCCCTGGGAATAGCTGCCCCTGTCCGGGTCCAGCCCCAGCCAAGAGCTGCATCATGGAGGCCTCCACAGAGTGAGTAACTGCAGGATGGAGAGGGAAGGGGGCAGGGGGAGGTCCGCAGCCCCAACCTCCTTGCTGTCATCTCCAGCTTCCTGCCAGGCTTGAACTTCAGCAACTGCAGCCGACAGGCCCTGGAGAAAGCCCTCCTGGGTGGAATGGGCAGCTGCCTCTTTGAACGGCTGTCTGATCTGCCTTCTATGGCCAGTGTCTGCGGAAATATGTTGGTGGAGCCCGGAGAGCAGTGTGACTGTGGCTTCCCAGATGTAAGCCCCTCCCCCAGAGCTGTGCCCTCACCCTGGCTCATCGGCTGTCTCCAAGCCCCCAGAGCCCCGCTCCCCACCTGCCTGTCTGCGGGGACAGCAGGCAGGCTGTCCAGCTCTAGCTCTCACCCGCCATGCAGAGGCCTCGGGTGCAGGCTCCAGGGGGCGGTTGGGGTCGGGTCCCAGGCCCAGCCCGCTCTGATGCCTGGCCTTCTGTGCCCTTCCCTGCAGGACTGCACTGATCCCTGCTGTGACTACTTCACCTGTCAGCTGAGGCCAGGGGCCCAGTGCGCATCTGATGGACTCTGCTGTCACAATTGCCAGGTGGGCCCAGACTGGACCGGCCACCCAGAGCCCACCTGCCAGGGGCCAGGGTGGAAAAGGTCATCCTAACTCCCAGGGCCTGGCTGGATTTGCCCCCAACCCCACACTAACATTCACCCACCCTCCACAGCTGCGTCCAGCTGGCTGGAAGTGTCGCCCCACCAGAGGTGAATGCGACTTACCGGAGTTCTGCCCCGGAGACAGCTCCCAGTGCCCCCCGGATGTCAGCATGGGGGACGGTGAGCCATGTGCTGGTGGACAGGCTGTGTGCATGCTAGGGCGTTGTGCCTCCTACGCCCAGCAGTGCCAGGCTCTCTGGGGGCCTGGGGCCAAGCCCGCCGCACCGCTCTGCCTCCTTGCTGCCAATACTAGAGGGGACGCCTTTGGGAGCTGTGGGCGCAATCCTGATGGCAGTTATGTGTCCTGTGCCCCTCGGTAAGTGAGGGAACCTGGCTCCTCCCCTAGGTCTGTGGGCATCTTGGCTCCACCACACTGACCCTGCACCTCCTCCCTCACCCCAGAGATGCCATGTGCGGGCAACTCCAGTGCCAGGGCGGGAGGGCCCAGCCTCTGCTGGGCTCAGCCCGGGATCTTCGCTGGGAAATGCTGGAAGCCAACGGGACCCAGCTGAAGTTGAACTGTAGCTGGGTACACCTGGACCTGGGCAACGACGTGGCCCAGCCCCTCTTGACTCTTCCTGGCACAGCCTGCGGCCCCGGCCTGGTGAGCAGCCTCGGTGGGCAGGACCAGGTGGGGAGGGATGTCTGAACTGCTGTGAGCAGTGCCCAGGCCTCATCAGCCACCAGTGCAAACAGTGCAGGCTCTGAGGGGAGTTCAGATTCTCACTTCAGATGGAGCAGAGTCCTGTGGTCCTGTGAGCCTTGGTGTCCCCATCTGTAAAAGTGTGCTGGGCCTCGGCCTCCCAGGGCCAGTAATGCATGTGAGAGGGTGATCTTTGCTCTTCTCTCCCCACTGGGCAGGTGTGTGTTGAGCAGCGGTGCCAGTCAGTAGAGGTCCTGGGAGCACAGGAATGTCGAAGGAGATGCCATGGGCATGGGGTGAGCTGGCATGGGGGGAGATGAAGGGGGAGCAGGGATTCTCTGGGAAGGAAAATAATGGTGGGCTTTGCAAACAGACACACCTGGGTTCTAATCCTAGCTCTACCGTGTCTTAACTGTGGGACCCCTGGCAGGTTTTTAACCTCTCTGAGCTCAGTTCCTCATCTAACTAATGGGCATAATAGTAGTACCCACTTCCTGGGGCACACGAGGTGAGTACAACACTAGCTTCTGGCACAGTGGCCGGCAGATAGAAGGCACTCACAGCGTGAGTTCAATCTAATTTCCTCTGCTGCTGGCGCCGATCGAGTCCCTCTCTCCAGAGCGGTGGCACCTTCTACCTCCTCATCCTCAGCATGCCCAGCCGTGGACATCTGAGATCCTGAAAAGCTGGGGACAGGGAAATATGGCCCCAGAGGGCCCAGCTCCTCACTGTCCAACCTGTGCATCCTAGGTCTGCGACAGCAACAGACGCTGCCACTGTGAGGATGGCTGGGCACCCCCAGACTGCACCACCCACATCAGAGGTAGCACAGCGTGGGGTGCAGGGGCAGCTGAGAGGGTGTCCTTCATCACCCCTCTTTTCTTGATCCCTTCACTGCTGGTCCCTTGCCTCCCTGTGACCCCTGACCCTTTCACTTCACTGATCACCTGATCTCACCCACAGCAACCAGCTCCCTGACCACAGGGCTGCCCCTCAGCCTCCTGTTGTTGCTGGTCCTGGTGCTCCTTGGTGCCAGCTACTGGCATCGTGCCCGCCTGCGCCAACGACTCTGCCAGCTCAAAGGACCCAGCTGCCAATACAGGTACCAGCCTCCCTGTTACCAACTCTCTCAACATCTCTGTTAAGGACCACAGCTCTGAAGCCCTGCCCCCATCCCCTGGGCAGCCCCCAGACCACACCCCATACACCCCCTTCCCTACTTGTGCCCCATAACTCTTCACCTCATGTGTAGACCCAGGTGGGGCAACTGCGGTGCTAGGACCATTTCTCTCCAGGAGCCCCAGGGCTGGATAAGTGGGGCCATCCCTCAGGCTGATCAGCTTCCCCTCCTCACCTCTGATTTGGCCTAAATCATGCTCCAAGGGGCCACAAAGAATTAACCCCACTCAAGGGCTGCCTATGGGCACAAAATGGTCTGAGGCTGGGTCCTCGCCCTCCTTGCCTTTCTCCATGCTCAGGGCAGCCCAGTCTGGTCCCCCAGAACGCCCAGGACCCCCACAGAGGGCCCTGCTGATGCCAGGTGCCAAGGTAAGTCTGTATGCCAGAGCAGAGAGGGCCCCGACCCAGGCAGGAATCCAGCTTGGGTGGGGGTGTCCAAGGCTCTGGACTCAGAGAAAGACTTGCATCGCCCATGAGTCAGTCATTGGAGTCAGGGCCAGCCCTCCCCGCACCTCCCCTGGCTGCAGGCTGAGAAACAGTCCAGTCTGGACTGGGGCGGGGCAATCACCTAGAGGAAGGAGTGCTGAGCTCTTCGAGCTGGCCAAGCCAGTGGCTTTCAAAGGTGGGTCTCCCTGTGCTCCCAGCAGTGGTGCCCCAGGAGGGCACGAGGGGGTGCTCAGAGTGGGCTTCGTGCGCCAGGACCTGATGAGGCCCTGGCCACCAAGTGTAGAAGGGCCGGTGAGTGCCTCTGCCCTGAGCCCCGTGGATCTGATGACAGGAGTGCGTGTGTGGAGGTGGTCTGCATGCCTACTCCACCACTTGTCACCCTCTCTGCATGCAACTGAATAACTGCATGCATGCACAGCCCCACTGCCCCTGGGGCCCAGGCTGCCCACCCCTGAGCACTAACACCTCTCTGCCCACATCTGTCTCTCTGCTCCCTCCCCTGCCCCCTGCCTGTCTGCTCCTCCGGCTCTCTCAGCAGGCTAGCGCTCTTGGCTTCCCGGCCCCTCCTTCCAGGCCGCTGCCTCCTGACCCTGTGCCCAAGAGACTCCAGGTAAATCTGGGCCAGGCCCGGCCCTGGCCCAGGGCAGGTGGGAGGCTTGGTGCCCAACTGCAGCTCTCATCCCTGTTCCCTGCCAGTAGCACTCGTCTTTAGGGGACCAGGGTGCCCTCAGCCTTCAGACACTCTGAGCCCCAGAAGCAGCAAAGGGTGAGCCGTCTGCCTTGGTTTCTACCACCATCTAGTGGTCAGTGGCGGGACTGCAGTTGGCCAGGGACACCCCCAGTGACCCACACCTCTCTCCCCTGAGGCCTCTCCTGGCATGCACTCAAGCCCCATGCGCATGTCCCAGTTCTCTTCTGCCCCCTGGCTGACTTTGCATGTTGACCTGAACCCCTGGGACGACCCGTCGCATGTCCACTGCCCCTGGCTGTGCTCTCATAGTCACCGCCCGTCTCTCTGTTCAGGCTGAGCTGGCAGACCGACCCAATCCCCCCACCCGCCCTCTGCCCGCTGACCCGGTGGTGAGGCGCCCAAAGGTAACCGTGGGGGGAGAGAAGGGCACAGCCTCTCCCCCCACCCAGGGCTGTGGTGCTGGTGGCAAGACATCCTCTGTGCCTGAGGCCACATACCCCAGTGGCATCTTTAATGGTGACAGGTTGGTTTGGAGACACAGGTGACCTATGGTGCCACCTCTCAAGCTGGTGCTCCCCAGCATCAGTGCGTCAGAGGTGAACAACATGATACGCTCTCCCAAGCTGGCCTTCTCTCTCTCAGCCACAGGGGCCCACCAAGCCCCCACCCCCGAGAAAGCCACTGCCTGCTGACCCTCACGGCCGGCGCCCTTCTGGTGACCTGCCTGGCCCTGGAGCTGGAATCCCGCCCCCAGTGGTACCCTCCAGGTAGGAGAGGAGAGGAGAGGCGCGGAGGATGGGTGGATTGGGCGAGTGGTCTGGGAAAACAGCACCTCTGACCTTTTTTCTTGGCTTTCCACATCCCAGGCCTGCGCCGCCGCCCCCAGCAGCGTCCTCGCTCTACCTCTAACTTCTCCTGAGGTTCTGCTGCCTCCAGCCTGGACTTAGGACGTCAATAGGCAGACCTGACCCCTGAAGCCCCCCACGGTGACTGAAGGAGCCGGAGCCTGGACGCTGTGGAGCAGGAGTCTTAAGACACCGGGTACCTCCACTTGCTGTCAAACAGCACTCTGGGGACCGGCCCACTCCGCGGCATCTGGGGGTTGGGGAGGGTCTGGGAGCTGGACGGAGCTGAAGGAAGTGCGCACAGCCTGTCTGCTGACTTAAAATAAAAGTGAGGTCTTGGGAGCACGTCTTCAAGTTTGTCTGCTTCGGGAAGGAGGGTCTCCCCTGTTGTGATTCCAGGTCTGGCCGCCAGGAGACGCTGCCGCCTTAGAGGAAGACAGGATAGGGAGGGCGAAAGTCCCAGGTTGGGTGAGAGGATCCCTGGGATGCTCGCGGCTTGTTTCTGCCTAGCCTGTGATGTCTCTCTGCATAATCCAGTACCACAAAGGGCGCTGTATGCCTTCTACCACCCCCAGTCGCCAAGTTCTCACCGCCAACGCTGCGCGGCCCTTTAGCGGCGGCCATTGACAAACCCGTCAAGCTGTTGGACTCGCCTTCCCCACCCTCTGACCAGTGGCTGGGGAAAATGGAACTGGTTGATGTTCTCAGAGCCCCGGAGCTGGGGCAGGGCGGGGCAGCGGCTCCCACGATTCCAAGGCCGCACACCTGCCTCCCCCCTCCCCCACCCCACCTGAGGGTTTGGGAACAAAGGTGCTTTGTACCGGCCCGCAACCACCTCATTATTTCGTCTTGGAGACTGTGGCCTTCGTTCTCCCAGAACGAAGGTGTGGGGTGGAAAGGGACAGTTGCCAATCCCAAGGTAAGCATCAAGCTTGCCACTTGAGGCTCGGTAAAGGGTGGGGTGAGGGGTCCCCGGGAGGCGATTTGTCCCTTCCTCTCACTGTATCTCTAGACGTGCAAAGAAAAAGGAGCAATGTGCCTACGATGGCTGGACAAACTTCATGGATCCTTGCCCCGCGCCTCACTTGCCTCTTTCTGGGTGAGAGGCGTGGGCCCATATTTAAATCTTCCAAAGATTTAATAAGGCTTTCCACCCTGTATTATGGCTTTCCAGGTGGTGCTGTGGCAAAGAATCCATTTGCCAAAGCAGGGGACGCAAGATACGCGAGTTCAATCCCTGGGTCGGGATGATCCCCTGGAGAAGGAAATGACAACCCACTCCAGTATTCTTGCCGATATAATCCCAAGAACAGAAGAACCTGGCGGGTTACAGTCCATGGGGTCACAAAGAGTCAGACACGACTGAGCAATTGAACACACACACACACACACACACACACACACACTATATTGTTGTTTTTGTTTAGTCTCTCAGTCCGACTCTTTGCGACCCCCATGGGCTATAGCCCGCCAGGTTCCTCTGTCCATGGGATTATCCCGGCAAGAATACTGGAGTGGGTTGTCATTTCCTTCTCCAGAGGATCATCCCAACCAGGGGATCATCCCAACCTAGGGATCGAACCCGTGTCTCCCGCACTGCAGGCAGATTCTTTACCCCTGAACCACCAGGGAAGCACCCTGTACTAACACAGCACGAAAGACACGACCTCTCTAAAACAACTCCTAGACAGGGGAATATGTCTCTTTTTGCCGCCCCCTTGAAACGGGCCCAACCTCAGCAAAAGCTTGCCGAAGCTGGAGAACGCTGCGGCGCCCAGAAGGTTAACAAGAGTTGGCTTTGAATGAAGAGGCGGAGACGCGACCCCATTGGTGAAAAGTTATCCAGGGGCGTGGCCTGTGAGTCTCTGCACCCCACCCCCCTTCTCGCAAGCCCCACCCCAACCTCCTCTGCACTTTGTACCTTTCTCGCCGCGACTGCGAAGCGGACCGGGACGGGCCGGGCCAGACCACACCAGACCTAGGGGGCGATGCGGCTGCAGCCCCTGCTGCAGACTGTCCTCTGGGCCGTGCTCCTCAGCTCCCCTCTGCGAGGGGGCTGTGGCCTCCGCCTTGCGGTCTACTGGAACTCCAGTAACCCCAGGTAGCCGGGCCGAAACCGGCGGGCGGCGAGCCGGGCCTGCACGCTCCCGGGCCGGGCGCGCGCACGACACTCGCTCTGTGCGCGGCGCCGCCTGGACCCGGCCGCGCGCCGGGGATCCTTTGTTTGAGCCGGCGGGGGAGAAGGGAGGGGCGAGGCGCGCCTGGGGTCCCCTATGCCCGCCCGCACGCGTTGGAGGCGAGCAGAGGACCCCAGTCCCGAAGGCAGTCGGTGGGGTCTGAGAGCCGGGAGCTGGGGGAACCTCAGCCTGCACTCCGAGCCCCGCCCCCCTCGCTTCTGTCTTGGGGATCCCCAGCCTTCCTCCGGCCGAAGCTGGGGCGAGCGGACTTGCGGGGCGCCGGAGGGGGGGTGGTTACTCTTGTGAAAGAGGGTTACTCTCCTGCTGGCTTGGCCTCCCCTTTGGCGCTCGCTTTTTCTCCTGAGCTCATTCTAGAACGCTTTCATCTCAGTCATTATTAGTCCTTCTATTTCTGTGCAGTCTCGGCCCTGCCCTTCTAGAGTTGAGTCACTTTTAGGCAAGTCATCTGACCTCCCTAACCTCAGTCATCTCATCTGTAAAATGGGGTAATATTGTCTAGTACCCTGGGAAGTCAGGTAGACTGAGGTCATGTGTGTCCAGGAGGTAAAGGCTGTACAGATATAAACTACTATTTTCTGTCTCCTGATCTGCCTGCCTTGGAACCCGGATGTTTTTTCCTGTTTCCATGCTCCTCCCCAATTCTCCTTGCCTCTCTCTGCTTTCTCCATGTTTTCCTTTCTGATTTTCTACTTAAAACAATCTGTGACTCTGTTCATTTTTTCAGTCACTAACATTTATTAAGCGTGTACGGTGTGCCCGGACTTGTGCTAGGGCGCTGGGGGTTAGAAATAAGACCTAGGCTCTGCCCTTTGGGATCCCCAAGGGCCCCTGGGTGAGCAGGCTTCAGAAGAGGTCATTACAATACCATTGCTGTGTGGTAAGAGCTGTTGTCTTCCACCTCTGAATTCCTCTCTGTGTTCCAGACCAATGCCTCTGAATGACTTGGAAAATTGGTTAAAAATTCAGGTTCCTACCCCCTAACCCTGAGGTTTCTGACTCATTCATTCCATTCCCAAATATTTATTAAGCATTTTCTTTGTGCATGACACTTTTCCAGGCACTAGGGATGCCGGAACTAAACAAAGGCCCAGCTTGTGTTCCAGCAGGTCTCAGCTGAGTCCAGGAATCTGCATTCCTAATCACACTCCAGATGCAGGTGGTCTTGAGACCACCCATTGAGAGAGAGTTGGGGGCCTTTCATAAGTCAAGTTGGGCTCTGTGTATGGTGAGCATGGGGGTGGGAGTAGTTCATGCTTTACTTGATGCGGGAGGGGTTGATGTGTCCTAGGTCTTACCACCCATAGTGGCTCCCCCCGGGGCATCTCCCAAGAGGTCGAAGGGAGTCCTGAGGAGGCCAAAGATTGGGAGATACGTGGAGGGGGCTCCAAGTCTGGCACTTTGTTGTCCTGGCAAAAAAAGGAGGGGGAGGGGAGGTTCCCACCATCCACTCTTTTTCTTTCTTTCTTACTATGGCATTCTTTCGGCATTGAATTGACATCTTAAAAAGGCAGCCTTCCCCTTTGTGAATCAGTTAAAGAGGATACTGTTCCAGTCTCCATCTCTGGTCTGTGACTGCACTGTGGGCCCAGATCTGTGCCCTTCGCCTCTGTGCCTCGGCTTCTTCACTGCAGCCATCCACCTAACATCTGTCAAGCACAGGTGCTACACCAAGGCCTTGTGTTGGGCATCAGAGCTCGAGAGGGGTGGCAGCTCCCACCCAAAGGCTAGGGTGTGGGAGTGGCCTTCTCACGTTTGAGTCTTGTGGTTGTAGGCCCTGCAGTCCCTTAACCTCTCTGAAACTGTGCATCGGTTACCTCATCCATTTCTTGCACTCTCTTTGTCTCTCAAGAGTTGTAGGTCTGGGGAACTCAAAGACCCCCCCAAGCTGCTCCCGCTCCAGCGGGTGGGGACTGGCTGGCAGGGACCCTTGGGGAGGTGTATCTTTGAACCTTGTGCCCCTGGTGTGCTGTGCCAAGGAGCCCCTCTGCCCTCGACTACCTTATGCCTGCAGGCTGCTTCGAGGAGACGCTGTGGTGGAGCTGGGCTTCAAGGATTACCTAGACATCATCTGCCCACACTATGAGAGTCCAGGGCCCCCTGAGGGCCCCGAGACATTCGCATTATACGTAGTGGACTGGGCGGGCTACAAGGCCTGCCGGGCTGAAGGGCCGGGTGCCTTCAAGCGCTGGGAGTGCTCCCACCCCTTCGCTCCCTTTGGCCCTGTTCGATTTCCAGAGAAGATTCAGCGCTTCACACCCTTCTCCCTTGGCATGGAGTTCTTGCCTGGAGAGACCTACTACTACATCTGTGAGTGAGGATGGGCACCCTGGCCACCTCCTGGGGAAGGCAGGGAGGGGAGCGGGGCTACCTGCCATTGCCAGCAGTCAAGGCAGAGAGCCTGAGGGGCGGGGAAAGGAAAGGAAGGCAGGCCAGGCCTAGGAGAGGGGAGCAGGCAAGGGTCCAGAACATGGTAGGGGGATATCTAGAGTGAGCCGATAAAGACACGGGGCAAGGAAGAGGAGCCGGGCAAGGGGACATGAGGAGGAACACAGGTGGGCATCTAGATGTAGCCCCACAATAAGGAAAAGTTTTCCAGAGAACTGGAGAGAGAAGCTGGGAGGGTTTTAAAGTGACTCTGAAGCATGCAAACTAGCCCATGCTAACTTCTTCCTCCCAATTTCCCACCACCCAGCAGTGCCAACTCCGGGGAGTCCTGGCCAATGCTTGAGGCTCCAGGTGTCTATCTGCTGCAAGGAGGACAGTGAGTGGGTTGGGGCAGGGGAGCAACCCTTCTGGCTAGTGTGGGGCCCTCGGGAATGGGGGGAGCAGTGGGAAGAATCTGGGAGCATTAGACTCTGGGGGGCCTCTTCTTCCCCCTTTAGCCTGTGGGAGCCTCCGCTGCACAGTGGGAATGGCATCTCCGGGGCAAGGCCCTCACTAAACTGGTGGCCTCTAATGGCACCTGGGAGGAGACCTGCAAGTTGGGGCTTAGAGGTGGCAGGTTATGGGAGGGATTGGCTAGTTCGGGAGACCCTGAAGCAAGGGGTGGGAGTGAACAACTAACGGGTAGAGCAAGAAGGAGGCTGCCGAAGCAGGAGGACCCATCAGTGCTACCCCCTCCCCCTCACAGAGCCTGAGTCAGCCCATCCTGTTGGGAGCCGTGGAGAGAGTGGCACGTCAGGGTGGCAAGGAGGGGCCACTCCCAGTCCCCTCTGTCTCTTGCTGCTGCTGCTGTTTCCAATTCTGCGACTTCTGAGAGTTCTCTGAGCCAAGCGGACCCTTCCTGCCACCCCCAGGGACCAGAGCCCTCCTAAGACTCCTTGGAGAGGGGCCCCTGCCCCCTACCTGAGCTGGACGTGCCAAGCCAGACAGACAAGATGGAAGAGTGGGGGGGGGGGGTCTGAGGCGACCCTTCCAGGTACTGGCCTCCTCATCACTGAAGGAGGCTGAAGAGGAGCCACAGGGAGCGGCGGACAGCCCTGGGCACCTCGGAGCAGAGGCGAGGCAACCATAACGTCTCCATCAGCGGCTTGATGTTCAAATCCCTACCCCCAGGAAGGCTGGGACTTGATGGGATGGCATCCTGGAGCCTGCTGGGGGCCAAGGTGAAAACCTGGGGACAGGCGGATTGCTGGACCAGGTCAGGCAAGAAGCCCAGGCCTGCCATCTGTCCCCACTGCCCTGTGGGCCTCTTCCCTGGGGCAGCACCTCGCCTCCCCAGAGGATCACTTACTTGTCTTCTGTGAAGACGGACTTAGCATGAGGTTGAATTTCATGCCAGTGTATATTTTTGTAAGTGTCAGGACTTCAATAAACCAACTACCCATCTTTTTGTTGCTTTTTCCAACCTTCTGCCCTCTAGCTCCTTGCCTGACACTGGGCCCTGGAGGGGGGTCGGGGGGAGCGGGGTGCAGGGTGGGGGGTGGCACAGTAGCGGAGTTCCCTGAAGTCTCTGCTCTCAGTGTGGCTTGGCCTGACCCCCATGCCAGCTGTGCCCAAGCCATCCATGCCAGGCCTCAGTGGGCACCCCTCTGGGCAGTGTGGGGTGGGTGCCAGCAGCAGCTGTGGAGCTTGGCACCCTTTACCACCTCTCTAGCTGGTTTCCTGGGCTGGGGAGGGGACAGGTGCTCCTGATAGCCCCCACACACCCACTCGGGGCACTGCTCAAGCTCTGGCAGCACTGAGCAGGATGTTGGGGCAAAGGCAAGGGGTAGTAGAAAGAGAGCATCTGGGTTTCAGAATGCCTGGGTCCCTGAAAGCTGGGTGTCCCCCCACTCCGTAAGGGCAGCCTGGGCGGTGCCTGGCCTAGAACTGAGAAGGTGGGGTCAGATCAAAGCCTCCTTCCCCAGCGGCCTCTTTGTTCTTCGCTTTTATAAGGAGGAGGGGGTGGGGCCGAGGAGGGAGGGCCCCCTTTGCTCTCAGCCCCACTCTGTCTCTATCACCTCTGGCAGGCAAAGCTATGACGCCCCCCTCCCAAGACTGACCAGTGACCTGGGGGGAGCCAAAGAAGGGGTGCCCCTTCCCCCGGTGCTATGCTCTACCCGCCCCGGTGCCCCACAGCTTCCCCTGGCACGGTGCCGGCCCGCCTGGCACCCAGCCAACGATCGATAGGTGGATGTTGTGCTGATTAGCTCGGCGGGGCTGCGGCGGCAAGAGGCGGCGTGTGAACATGCGCGTGGCGGGGGGGGGGGGGGTGGCGGGCGGAGGGTGCTAGAGGTCCAGAGACTGATGACCAGGCCGAAATGCTGGAGATTTTCGAGCCCCTGCCCCACCCTTTTGCACACCCGGCTCACACCCCCGTCCCTCTGGGTTGTGTCCATTGCTCTGAGGCCTGGGGCGGAGGGCAGCACCGAGGACGAAGCCTACATGAGTTGACCCGCCCCCTGATTCAAGGCCACTTTCATAAAATGCCATATCTGTAGGTGCATGTGCTTGCGTATTCGTGTCAGGACCCTCACCCCAAAACACGATTCTTAGCGGGGGCGAGGGGCCAGAGTGAAGAGGGTGAAGTCTGAGCTGAAGCCTGAGCTATGGGCTCGGTCTTCGGTCCTGTGTTCGAGTTCAGTCTCTACTGCCAACCTGAAGGGTGTCCATCTGTCGCCGTGGAAACCGACTGTACTGCTACCTCCGCCCCTCTCCAGTGAAGCCAGAGGCGGCGCGGGCCGGGGATGACTGGTTAGACCAGCATTAAGGACTGCGGGCTTCTCATCCTGCTCCCAGCGGCCGCAGACACCCTCCCTTCGCGGACCCAGCCCGGCGCGCTCGCTCCCGAGCCTGTAGCCGGCGCGCGGATCTCGCCGCTGATAACGCATGTGCGAAAGAGACGCGGGGCCAAACCGGCTTTCCCCACACTCAAGACACACGCCCTCTCTCTCAGGCAGACGCGCACACTTGACACAGACACAGGCAGGCCCTCGCCAGCTCCTGGCTCTCTGCAGGTGTGAGGGTGGACACCTGGGCCGCCACGCACTTGGGCTGGGGAGGGAGAGGAGGCGGGGAAGACGCAGGCCCGCCGGCCGCAGGCCTCGAGCCAGCCCCTCCCTACACTCGCTTTCCGCCCAGCCTGGGCCTTGTGTGGACAACTGATTCAGTTGCGGGGCGCGTCTCCAAGGAAAGCGAGGGCCAAGTCCGCTCATGGGGCCTAAACAGGACGAAGACGCTGGGCGGTCTTCCGGCACTGGGCCCTACCCATGAGAAGTCCTCGAGGCGTGTTCCCGGGCGTGGTTCCAGGAGGCTCGGCGGACCTGCAGGTTTTGAGGCGTCACCGATCTCCCCTAAACTCACCGGCGCTAGATGGCCGAGGGCGGGGCCCTCAATTTGCTGGGCTTGCCCTAGTCTCACCAGAATGATGCAAAAACCCCTCATCTTCGCATCAAGCTATGTCGCTGTTCCGAGAACCCGAGAGCCTCAGTCTCCGACCTCGATCCTGCTCCCCACTTTCTGGGGTTGCAAGTCTTCCACCAGAGGCTAAACCCTAAAGTTTTGGTCTTTTCAATGTAACCCCACCGTTTTTTCTTCTTCCCTTTCAGTAATTCCTTCCTTTCCTTACTCATCCATTCGGCAAGTTGTGAGCTCCCAGCGCGTTCTTCTTTCAGTTGGCCACACCAGCTGGGGTCGTCGGGGGATCCCCAGCGGTGACGCAGTTGGAGAGGGGCACGCTGACTTCCAAATAACCAATAGAATCCTTGGGCCTGGGGCATGAGGTCATCAGCGGTGATGCCCATTGGTTCAGGCCTGGACGTGGAGGGGGTCCCCATAGCAACCGACGGTGCGTCCGAGCGTAACCTGGAGAGTGGTCTTTGCTTGTGCTTCAATGGCAGCTTGGGTGGTGCTTGGGTTGGGGGCGGGGAGGCGAGAGCAGAGCCCTGTTTCCCAGGTCCTGCAGTCCTAGCCCAACCAAGCTCTTATTTTTCTTGAGATCCTTTTACTCACTCAGCCCAGGAAGGTTAGGAGGGGAGTATTGGCAAAAGCGTGGGGGTCCTGGGTACAGAGCTCACGCCACCCGGAATGTTAATTCTGAGATCCTCGCGTTCATCTGCATATCGTCTGCATCTCATTTGCATTCTCTTCATTTAAGGTCAAATTGGGCAGACATCTCCACATCCCCAGCTCTGTCGCTTGTCTGTATCCCAAATCTATCCCTCACTGACTCTCTAATCTACCTCTCAGTGGTCCAGTTCCTTACCCTACCTCTCCTCCCAGCCTCCAGTCTCTCCAGAGGAGGGACAGGGCACAGCCTAGCTAAAGGAGAAAGGATAAGAAGTCTGCCTCTCCCTCTGGACGTTTGGTGACAGATGGGGAGGGCTGGTCGGTACTGCCTGGAGACTACATTGGCAAAGCAAATGGTGGGGGGAGGTGCCCTGGGCTGAGCTGAGGGTCTCCAGGGCCAAATCACCCACGTGCCCGGCAGGGTGCTGGAACTCGGGATGCCTGCTTCCAGCTGAGGGGCAGGCCTGCCCACCTGTCTGGTGCCAGGGCAGCTTCCTTCCTCCAATTAAACACTAATGAGGTGTCATTAACCCTTACCTTGCCTACCAGCCCTCAGGTGGTACTCAAATTCATGGTCTCACACTGAGCAAAGAGGGAAAAAGGAGGGCCTTTAAGGAAGCTAAGAGGCAGTAAGGTCAGGGGAGCTGGAGACAAGAAGGCGGGACCAGAGGCCTGAGTAGCTTGTATTAGTTATGCTGTGTGCTTCTGAGGGATTCTCGGCATGGGTGTCTCACTATCAGAATCCATTTATTATTCTGTCCATCAATTCAACAATTATTTATTAAGCACCTCACCTATGCCTATAAATACCAGGCTTCATGCTAGATGCTGAGGATATACACTTGCCTAAGTCAGGATCCCTTCCCTTAAGGAATCTTCAGATTACTTGAGGAGAAAAACTGGCCAACAAATAATTACAATGCCAAGTGCAAATGCAGTTACAGAGCTGTGCAGAATGTGCTGTGGGAACACGGGGAAAATGAACTGTCAGAGAAGGCTTGGGTTTTGAAGGACAAAGTTTATGGCATGGAGGGTAAGTGTAGAGCTAATCATGCTTTTGATTCAGCGTAGAGGTCCATGTTTAGCTGTGTTTTCAGGATTGCTGGTGTCTGCGCTCCTCAGAGCTGTATGTTTTGCATCCATGTGTATGTGTGTGAGTGTGTATGTGTGTCTGGATTTTTCTGTGTCTGGAATCCCTTCTCCCGAAGACACATTGTGGTTTTATTACAGATCAATGTTTGCCGTGAAGCTCTGGCGCAGATTAGCCTGAACCTGCCCAGCCCAGGGGAGGAGAAGTGGAGAACCAGTGTTGGCTCTCTGGGAAGAGGTGGGCAGGCACCACCTTCACACCTGGGGGCCTAGACCCTTGACACCCCAAGTAGCAGCAGGCTAGCCAAGGGAGACAAGGGCTGGGCCCCCAGGCTATGGTAAGCTGTGCCCAGGCCACAGTGCCTTCTGCCCCAGCTCCCCATAGGAGATGTGGGGGTTATAGCCACCACTCCCCACCAAGATCTCAGGCCCCCTCCCCCAGCCTGTTCTTCTGTCTGTGGAGGAGCAGGCCAGCTCAGACCTGTCTGCTGGCTCTCTCACTGGGAGCGGATCCTTTCCAGGGGACACGAGAGGGCTGGGGAATGCTAGGGCCTACTAGGAGGCCCTAGGTACTCCACCCTGGCCCTCTTCAGCTCTCTCCAGCCTGGATTCTCCCCACCCACTATGGGGTGCCACTTCTCTGGGTTTTGCCCAGACACAGCCATCTTTGCCAGGGAAGTGCTCAAACAGTAGGCAGAGGGTAAAGGCTAGAGCTATGGCAGTGGGGACTGGCCTGGGGAAGGGTGAGGTGAGGAGACTGCAGTGCTCCTCTCAGATTCTACCCCAGTTCCTTCTGTCCCCTTGCAGCCACTTACTATAAAACTCAATTTTGGTGGCAGGAAAGAGAAGAGACTGTGGATTGAAGGAGAGATTTAGGGGCTAAAGAGAGGCTCTGGGGTCCGAGGAGAAGGTCAAGGACCTCTCTTTTCACACTCTCAAGGATGTGAACATCTCTTTGGCTGTAACTTCTACTCCCCCTCATTCTATCTGAGCTTTTCCTATCCCATCACTATTCCCCAAGCCCAAGGTCACCTTTCCCACTATGACAGCTATTAGAGAAGTTTGGAAATGGCTGGGAAGAAAGATGAAAAAGAGAGTCTGGAGCTAGTCTAGGCTGGCAGACCTCGGGATAATAATAATGATGAGGCCTCCATCAATCAAGCACCTTGTGGGTTCTAAATTCTGTGCCCAGTGCTTCCCAGACACGGATCTTTATCCTCATAACAACCAGCTCTTCGAGGAAGGGTGTTATTATCCCCAGTTTACAGATAAGGAAACAGTCTCAGAGAACTGAGGTGACCAGCTCAGTCCGTGAGTGGTGGAAATGGAATTTGAACCCAATCCCATCCTGTTAACTGCCAAGTCCAACTGCCTCCCTCTCAGCTTTTCTAGAAAGAAGCACATTCAGAGGACGCACTCAAACCTCCAGTATAACACCCCAGAGATGCCTCTCCGCTTCAGGGTTTTTAGCTTGCTGGCCTCATTTGAGGGTTCAAGGCATGACTAGAATCAGAGGTTATGATGCTCTGACCCCACCCATCAAGCCCTGAATCCTAATTTCCTGTGTCCTGTGAACCAACTTCCCTACTGTCAGTCATGTGTGTTGTTCCATGTCAATTCAAGGGCGTTAGAGAAACATGTAGCCACGCTGACACACACATCACACTTGAAGTCAGAAGACACATATATCCCGCTCCTTGTTGGCACCCAGGGTCCCATGTTAGGACCATGCCGACAGGCTGCCTGCACCAGGGCACACACATGGGCCCTAGGCAAGGTGTGGAACCTGTGAATATTTCATGTCTGGAGCTGGCGGCTGCCTCTCCTGCTCACATGCATGCCCCATCCTCCCTTTTACAGGCTCCTTGTTTGTTTGTTTAATGAATTATTTATCCACGGCCCCCCTTCCCTCCTGGCCTCCCCCTCCCCCAGGCCCTAGCCTCCATGATTTATTGAACACAGCTCTGCTCTGTGGTTGCCACCCGTTGTCCCAGGAGCCGCCTTGGGCCACACAGCCTGAGTACTCCCTCTGCCCTGGACCTGTTCAGCTCCCGGCTTCCTTGGCCCCAGGGGGCGGGGGTGGAGGGTGGGCGGAGGGGTGAGGCACCACACTCGGAGAACTCCCAAGGGCCTGATCTCAGTGCCACTGGAGAGAACATGGCAGCCAGCAGTGTCCTGGCAAGCTGAGGGGCAGAGGGAAATGTAGGCAGAGCCTGCAGCAGAGGAGAAAGAGGCCCAAGGCCCTAGAGAGAGAGATATGCCCCATGGAGAGAACCTCAGCTTTCACAGAGGCCCTCACCCAACAGAGAGGTGACAGTCACAGCCCAGGCCTTAGAGCATTTCAAACTGTAAATTGTAACCCATTAGGGGTGATACAATTAAGGAATCAATTTTCTGGGACTGAACAAGCTTCGCATTTTTGTTTTTTTAAGAGTAGAACAGAAGAAAAATATCAAAGTGCAGCCTCTGTAATAAGGGTAAGTATTGTTTCACGAAACTTGTTATTTCAATTATATGTGAATGTGTGTGTGTCTACTGTATGGCAAATGCAAAATATACATCTTATTGTGGGTCATAGGAAAGATTTGAGTCACAGTTATAAACAGAGGCCCTACGCCCCACTGATGGAGGCCTGGGTCCTTCAATGACCCAGATGTCACATAAAGAGGCATAGGCTTCAGATCAGATCCCAGCGTGTGGACAGTGGCCCAGATCTTATACACAGAGACCCAATCCCTCGAGATGCCCAGACCCCATCAATAGAGGCCTATCGACAGGCCTAAGAATTACAGCTGGAAGTACATATCCTATATTCAGAACTACCACATATGGGTGTGCTGTTTGTGCTTGGCACAAAGGAGCCCCCCAAGGAGTAGTAGAGACGATCAGTCCAAGCTCCCTCACTAAGATGGGGAGACACATGGGGCCACGTCCCACTGAAAGGAGCGGCACCTTTGTTTTTGCACAAAGGTACCACTTGCCAAGAGATGCACCCTAAGGACTGGGTCTGCAGAGAGGGGTGGTTTTGCTAATTCACACAAAAGCCCAAATCAGCCAGTAGCTGATTTAGAGGCCTAGATAGATAGAGCACCAGATCCAATGGTCAGAGGCCTAGGCTTTATAGAGAGTGTCTCAGAACTTAAAAGCCAGAGGTTTAGACCCCATAGAGAGAGCTGCTTAAATCCAGAAGAGAGGGCTCCAAATTCTAGAGAAGAGAGCTCAGTTATTATTGGGGGGCTGGGAGGGAGTGTGCTAGATTCTAAGGAGGAGTATCTGAGTCCTATGGAAAAGAGCCCAAATCCTTAAGTGGGACCCAGATTCTATAAACAGGGCTTCTAAAATGGAATTTAAAGTCCTAGGCCAAACCAGCAAGCTCCCACTCCCTATGAATACGGGCAGCCTCTCTGCCAACTGTGGGACCTACAGAGAGATGCTTCTTCTGCAGAACAGGAATGTGGGTAGGCGGGGAGGAGGCTGGGATGAGTGGCACCTGGAATAGGCAGGTCAGCATCATTTGGGTGAAACAAATCTCCCTAGGGCTTAGGTGTCTGAGGGGAGGGAGAGATGTTTGCAATGTCCCCCATTCCCACCCCAAGGGGCCTAATTTATTTTCTGGCTCCTGAGAAGGGAGAGGAGATCTCCTGGGGAGGAGAAGAGCCCAGGGAGGACACAGCCTGCTCTCTCCTGACAGCAGCTAGGCACAGGGCTTTTTCTGGATGGTACTGCCCCTCCCCCAAACCCAGCCTCTGAGGCCAAATTGTGGTCAGGACCCCTCTCCTGCCAACAATAAGCAGATAAGGGGAGCTTGTATGTTCTCTCTCCTGTAGTAAGAAGGAAAGCACATCATTCCTGTCACCCTGGGTTCAGGTGGTTGGACTGGATTCTGAGAGTCTGGTCTGAGACCTAGTCCTCCTGATCACTCTTAATCTGAACCTCCCCAACAAAAGGAGATAAGGGGTGGACAATCCCTAGGTCTGGATTTGAGACCCTTTCCCTCAATCTCTGAGGTCTCCCAGGTGGCTCAGATGGTAAAGAATCTGCCTGCAATGTGGGAGACGAGGGTTCGATCCCTGGGTCAGGAAGATTCCTTGGAGTGGGATGGCCACTCACTCTGGTATTCTTGTCTGGAGAATCCCATGGACAGAGAAGCCTGGCGAGGGGTCACAGAGAGTCGGACACAACTGAGTGACTAACACTTTCTAGATTCTAAATTTTTCTTTCCCTGAATTTCTAATTCATAGGACAAGAGAGGAGAGTGCAGAACTGTGTGTATGTCAGAGGGTGTGCATGGGCTTGTGTGTGTCACTGTGTGTGTGTCTAGGTGTGTGTGCTCCAACGTCTCTGTGTACTGAATCTCTGTGTTGCTATAGATCTCTAGGTACCTAGTGGCACCTATACCTGTATGTCTCTGAAGGGTTATCTGTGTGTCTATATGCCTGTGTCAAATGCCTGTGTTTCTGTGTTCTCTGCTTCTGGGTGTCTGTGCCTCTTCTGAATGTGTGGATGTAATGTCTGTGCTTGGGTATCACTGTGAGGACAATGACTGTGGTGAGAACTGGAGTACAAGGTGCTCTGCCTGTATGCGCTCTCATCAACGTCTTTGCGAGTGGGAGTGAGAATGCCTAGGGACACCACTGGCTGTACTGGAAGGGGTCTCTGGTTGAGAGTGAGTGAAGAATCCTTTGTCAGTGTCCCAGGAAAGCCGGTTTGGCTCTAGCTGACTCTCCTCAGTCCCTCCTCTGCCTTGGGCCCTGGACTGCTGAAGGCCCTCCCAGCACCCAGCCTTGACACTCTCCAGACAAGCTCCTCTACACTACCTCCAAGAAAAGCAAGCCTCCCGCGCAGCTGGGGGGTTCAGGGCAACAGCAATAAGGTCCTTGGTGGCAGCTAAGGGCTTCTCAGCCACCCTCTGGACCCCATCTGGCTCCTCAGGCACATGGGAAGAGGCGTGTGAAGGGAGCAGAGGACCTGACTGTTCAGAAAGGAGGGAGGTCTAGTTTTACTTATTAAAGGATCCTGGACCCCAAGCTTCTTCTCAAGTCTCCCGTCCCAGAAATGAATGTTGACATTCATTGAGATCCCTGTCTTCTTCTCCAGACCGGGGAGCAGAAGATACGGGGCCGGCGGTAGCAGATTAAACCTACGAGGGAGAGGCGACGAGCGCTCCGGCTGTTCCCAAGGGGGCAGCACGCTTCTCACCTCCCACGCGCCGCGCGCGCTCCGGCCCGAGCGGGGCGGGGCCTGACGAGAGCGCGCCAGGGGCGGGGCCTTGGGGGCGCGCCCGGGAGGGCGGAGGGAAGGGCTGGGGGCGTGGCCTAAGGCTCGGGGGCCGGCGGCGGCGGCAGCAGGGAGCTGGGAAGCGAGAAGCCGGGAGCGCGGGGCTCAGTCGGGGGGCGGCGGCGGCGGCGGCTCCGGGGATGGCGGCGGCTCCGCTGCTGCTGCTGCTGCTGCTCGTGCCCGTGCCGCTGCTGCCGCTGCTGGCCCAGGGGCCCGGGGGGGCGCTGGGAAACCGGCATGCGGTGTACTGGAACAGCTCCAACCAGCAGTGAGTCGGGGGCCCAGGGAGCCCATGCGTCCCGCGTCAGTGAGAGGGGGAGGCCTGGGAAGTCCTGGGGGAACCTGGGGTGGCAGTCCTGGGAAACCACAGTTGGGGGCTAGAAGGCGAGGGAGAGGGGGACACACTCTGTGGGCGTCTGTGAAACTCAGCGGGTGTCTGAAAGAGGCTGTTAAGGTAGAGTAACCAGGGCTTGGGCCGAGCGGAGGAGGCAGCTTGGGAACACCCCACCCCACCTTGGCTTCTCTCCACACCCGCCTCTGGAATAGCTTACCCCCCAACTCGACAGTCCCCACATCTTCACCCCCTTCGGCCGGCCTGGGGTTTGGGAGCCCCAGCATGCTGGGGATAGGCCGCCGCACTTGGGGAGCCCAGGGATGACCTGTTTTCAATGGCGAGCGTTTCTAGGGGTTCTGGGCATGACTCCCGCTTTAACAAGTGGGGTCCAAAGCTGAAGCAAGGAGTCCGGGCGAGCACCTCCTCAGAAGGAAGGTGAATGGATTACCCTGGTTGTATGGATAAGCGGGGCTGGGATGAGCTGCGGCTGGGTCGCCAAGTTGGGGGGCTCTGGAGGTGCTGCTTGGACAGGATAGGAACGTGGGGTACCGGCGAAAGGGAGGAAGGCAAGGAGATGTCGGCGTGTCACACACACACACGCCCGGGCTGGGGACAGCGTGTGGCTCCAAGTGTGAGCGGGCGTGCGCGGCTGTCAGTGTGCGTGTGTGTCTGAGTGTGTGATTTGTGTGTCTGCGTCGGCGATCGTCTGGGGGTGGGAGCGGGCGACGGGTCGAGGAGGGGGCTGCGGTCGCTGTCCGCGTGGCCGGCCGCGTCTGGGCTAGGGTGGCTGTCGGCGCCGCCGCGGTCTGGGCGGGTGTCAGGGCGGCCGTGCGGTTTCCCGGGGTGTGTGGAGCGGCGGCTGGGTGCAGGCTGCGGGGCCAGTTTCTCATTCTGCTCAGTCCTTCCTGCCCTTGTGTTCTCCTCCCCGCCGAGCCGCCGTGTGTATCACCCCTGCCGCCTCCGTGTGTGTCTGTGTGTTGGGGGGATCCCTGGGGACACGGGGGTCACTGTCACACCTGCCCAGGCGGCGGCAGCGGCACTGTCTCGGCTCCCCATCCCAGGGGGCGACTCGGGAGCAAATGGAGAGACCCCTCGAGAGGGGACCGGGAGGGCCGGACGGCCGCGACCCCCAACCTCCCGGGGGAGGGGCTGCTGCTCGCGGCTCCTGCTCTTTGTTGTTTGGGGCTCTGCGCCTCCCCCTCTCTCCCTCCTCGCGCCCGGAGTGTCAGACTGGGGGTGGGGATGAGGCAACGACGCCCCCCTCTCGCTTCCCATGGAAACCTCGGGGGTGAGGATACGGCCCCTCCCCCCCCCCCAGCGGGACTCGGAGAACTCCGGGGGCCGCTAGGGGCTGACTCCCCTCTCTATCTAGCTCGTTCCCTCCCCCAGACTCACAAGTCTGCCCCCCGCCCCGCTAGAGTCTGGCAGGGAGTGGAGAGCACGCAGGTGAGGGGCTCCGGGTTCCCCACCACGGTCAGGGCACCCTCACGTTCTTAGGATAAGCCGGAGCCAGGGGATGCGGGAATGGCGGGGGTAGGGGTGAAGGGGGGATGTTGTTGATCAGCTTCCCCTCCCCCGCATACACCTGGGCGCAGGTGAAAGCCCTGGGAGGGGGTGGGGGAGCCCAGGTTCCGAGAGCTTCCTTTCTGTCTCCCCTGCTCCTCCGCAGGTCTGGACCGGTAGAGATGGGAGGGGGTGCGTACCGGGCCGGGAGGCCGCCGCCGCCCCCGCCTCGCTTCCTCCGCCTTTGTTGCCGCTGCGCCCGGGCTCCCCGGCTCCCTCACTGCGGCAGCCGCGGCCCCATAAATCGTGAGAGCGACGTGCTCCGGAGCCGGGAGTGGAGAGGGCCAGGGAGCTGGGGGCGGGGCCGGGCCGAGCCACAGGCTCCCGCGTCCCCTCCCCCCGGTCACGTGAGCTGGGCTCCTGGCTCCCACCCCCCATCACGTGCCAAGGGTCTCTGCCCCCTGGGGTCACGTGAAGAGGGTCTTGCGACCCCGCCTCCTGGAGGGTCACGTGGGAGGGTACTGGTGGGACACGTGCGGTGGCCTCTTTGACAGACCTGGGGGCAGGACCCTGCACAGCGACCGTGATCTTGCCCCTATCCCGCACTCAGCCCCTGCGTTTGGTCCTCTGGAATAGAGGAGACCTGTTCCCAGTCTGGCCCAGAAACCGAGCGTGGGGGAACCTTACTGGAAGGAAGCATGAGAGTGTGAGGTCGAGGGGTCCCATGAGCCCGGAATTGAATGGCGGGGGGCGGGACCGGCCAGTGGCCAAATGGAAGCGCCCGGGTCTGTGCTTCATTGCTTTGCAGAACTGTACAAGGGTGCTGGCATTCGCCCCTATCTCAAGAAGCGTCAGAATATCTTGCTGTAGCTGTCTCCCTACCTGTCTTTTTATCTCTTGAATGTTTCTGTTGCTTATCTCTCTTTCATTCATACATTCATTCAACAAATATTGAGGCTCTACTACGTCCCTGTTGGTCCTTCTCTCTCTTTTCTTCCTGTCACCGAGTCTCTGCCCTGAACCGGCTGCCTGTCCCTGATATTCTCCTTGGCGTCCCTGTCTCCGTCTTTGCTGTCTGTGGGCCTCTCTGGAGCGGCCTCTATGGCTCTCCCTTTCTTCAAGCCTCTCTCCCGTCTCATTCTAACATCGCTTTCTCGGTTTCTGGATTCCTCTCTTTCTCACTGTCTCACTCCCTTTCACCTCGCGGTGAATCCAGGCTCTGTCCATCCCCCTCTCGGTCTCCCTCTCACTCCATTTCTGTGTCTCGCTTTCGGCGGGTCTCTCGCGCTTCTCCGCCGCTGCAGATCAATAAACCTTCGCCGCCGCCGCCGCTGCTGTCGCAGGGAGGAGGGGCGGAGATGTGGGGCGCGCTGATTTTCTCCCACCCGACGCCGGCCGGAGAAGCCCGGAGCCGACTCCCGAGCTGGCGAGACCCAGTCCGGCGGGGCGCGGAGGCCCAGGATGCCGGAGGGATGCGGGGGTGTCAGCGTGCACGCGCCGCCCCGCGAGCGTTCTCGCCAACCACCCATCCCAGCCCCGGCGCGCGGACCCCACGCCGCGCACACGTGGTCCGGCCTCGCCTGCCGGGGTGAGTGGCGCGCAGCCTCGGGGGCGCGCGCTAGAGAGGAGAACAGGGGTCCGGTGTCTTTATCCCTCCTTCACTTCCGTAGCTCTGCATCTTGGCGTTTAGAGGTGGGGGGCAGGGATTTAACAAGTTCAGGATCTCTTGGGATCCTTTCCTTACTCCCTGGTCTTGTTAGACACCCTGTTTACCAGCCCCTAATTGCCCCGGGGGGAGAGGTTTGCTTCTTCGCGGTTCCCCCGCCGCCCACCCCACGAGGCTCGGGCAGACAGGGCACTGAAGGAGTGAAAGAGAGGGGTCGGAATGTGCACCCGGGGCGACGAAAGCCGGAAAAGATGAAATAACGGGATGAGGGGGCACCCCCTCCAGTGGGGTGTGTTGACCCTCGCCTTTCTGCGAGAGAAGTGGGAGGCTAGTAGGAGATGAAGTGAGGAAGAGTAGAGAACTGTGTGAAGGGGCAGGTACGACCCAGTCCCCAGAGCCCAGCCTGCCCTCCTCTCCCGCGGGGGCGGAGTGGGGCGGGGTGTGGCTCTAGGTTAGGGAGGTGCGGCCCTGAAGGAGGGGTTAGCTGTGAAGCTAAGCTGGGGCCTAGCGGCACCTCCCTCTTTACTGCCCAAACTGGGAGGATGACAGATTCAATTAAAGCGCCCAAGCCAAGCAGACACCTCAGGTCTCCCAGGAGTTGTGGCTGTGTTTTCCTGGCAGCCAGCCTTTTGCCCCCTGTCCACCAGCTACCACCTGGGCACAGTCATTCCCCAAGCAGTTCTTTCTCCCACATGCCCAGCAGGGAGGGCAGGGGCATTTCAGGGGCTGTTCTCGCCACTCAGCCCAGGGACAGATAGGAGGAGGCTTCTCTTCAGTTGTGGTTGCCCAGCAGCCTTGCTATAAGGCTAGTCCCCTGTGTGTTGAGGAAACTGAGGTGCCTGTAGGAATAGCTCTGGCTTTGGCTTCCTCCATTCTGGAACCGGGTGTGTTGTGGGAAAACCACGCAGTGCCCTAGGGAGGCACTACTTCAGGTCTGCAAACCCAGGTGAGGCTCAAGGACAGAGGCCCCAGAGTGGCTGTGCCGCTGCTCCGGGCCTGGCACTGGTGGCCCCCTCCTCAAAGCCTGTGGGCGAGGAACACTAGACTTTGAGCTTGTGGATAGAGAGGTAAACCTGGGGTGGCAGCTGGGAGCTAGGCCTGGTCTAACCCGTTTTCCTGCTCCCAGTGCCCCAGGCCGAGACTCCTGCCCACCTGGGTGCCAGGGCCAGGGAGGAGCCAAAGTGACCCATCACTCCCATGGGAACCGAGTGGGGCTGGTGGCATTCTTGATGACTCAAGGAGGCTGAGCCCATTCTTACTGGGGTGCTCAAACACCTGCTCTTACCTGTCTTCCTTACTGCTAGGCTTGAAAGGGAGTGTTGGGGAGGGGGTGGCACAGGCAAGGCCAAGGATGTAGGGTGAGGTGGGGAGGACCCTCAAGGCCCCGCCCCATCCGAAGGCCTCCAAGCTCGTTTCCCTAATGGATCTAATTACTGTTTGTGGAACTGGGAGATGCCTGGTGACAAGGGGAACGAGTCTCTCCCCTCAGGGAGTTCCCAGGAACCAGAGACCCCGGTGGTTTGACATTTTGCCAAGTACCCCATGCCTTCCTGTGTCCACTATACGCCCCTCTCACTGCCAAGATGTGTGCATTCCTATGCAAAGAAAATTAAGGGAAACTCCTGCCTACTTCTCTGAGTTTCTTTCTCCGTTCAGATGTTTCTCCCATCCCCACACCACTCAGTACCACCATGGAGAGAGCATTAAGACCAACACTTTGATGATAACTAGCAAGGCAGGTGGGGATTACAAGGGACCCAGCATCTGCTTCTCTGCGCATAGAAGGATCAGGGACGTAAGAGGCACAGCCATCTTGTCTGGGCACTGTGCCCACTACTCTGTCCAGCATCATTAAGGGGAGTTGGCGTCCAGGCTGAGGAGGGAGGGCCATCGAGATGCCAGTTTTGGCGTGACGCCACATGGAGCCTTGGTGTTGAGTCCCTTAGCTCCCTAATCTGCTGTGTCGCACTGGTATATGTGTTAGTCTCTCAGTCGTCTCAGACTCTTTGCAACCTCTAGACTGTAGCCCGCCAGGCTCCTCTCTCCATGGAATTCTCCAGGCAAGAATACTGGACTGGGCAGCCATTCCCTTCTCCAGGGGATCTTCCCAACCCAGGGATCAAACCTGGCTCTCCTGCACTGCAGGCAGATTCTTTTCCACCTGAGCCACCAGGGAAGTCCTGGTGTGTCACATTATTGGAGACCTAATTGTCCATACCCTCAGGGTGGAGGTCAGTGAGGCTCAAGGTACAGAGGCCAGTCACACTGTACAGAAAGCATGTGCCAGTGTGTGTGTCTGTATAGGAAGGGCAGGGAAAGAGCTGAAGATTGCTGGTGTCAACCAATCCTGGCATGCCAGTCCAGCACACATATCACCTAGTTTTTCTGTGTACGCTGCCTGTGAGTGGGTGGTGGACATATTTGTGTGTGTGCCACAGAACTTGTGCATGTATATGCATGAAGCCTGCATACATATGTCTGTGAGGGCAGGTCTTGTCGGACTCGCCTTGGGGGTGGACTGGCAGCATCAGGAAAGCATGCTGGGAGAGGTGATGGAGGGTGCGCATCCCTCCAAGGAATCCCTCCCACTTTCACACTTCCATTCCTTCTATCCCTCCTCCCCACTAGTGAATTACGGGGGATGGACGGAGGAAATCCGGGCCTGGGTCTGGGAGTCGCAGGGACCTGCGCCGTTTCTGTGGTAACCAAAGCATACGTTCCCTTCTTCCCTCCACCCTTCTCCCCTTCTCCCCCGCCTCTTTTCCTTTGGAGGCCGGCTGGGCTTCCCTGCGTCTTTGCTACCCTCTGGTGGCTACCAGGAGAAGGCCAGAACCAGGAGTGGGCCCGGAAAGATAGTGCGGGGATTGGAGGCACTAGGGCCCTGGGGACAGAGAAAGGGACAGAGAGGGGAGGAAGCTCAGAAGGAAAACCTGGAGACTCTAAGGACCCTAGGGAAGGTCTGCGGAGAGGTGAGGTGGAAAGTGGGTTGGCTTTGGGTTTCTTCTCTCTGACCCGCTTCCTTTCCCCCCACAGCCTGCGGCGAGAGGGCTACACGGTGCAGGTGAACGTGAACGATTATCTGGATATTTACTGCCCGCACTACAACGGCTCAGGGGTGGGCCCCGGGGCGGGGCCAGGGCCCGGAGGCGGGGCGGAGCAGTACGTGCTGTACATGGTGAGCCGGGACGGCTACCGCACCTGCAACGCCAGCCAAGGCTCCAAGCGCTGGGAGTGCAACCGACCGCACGCCCCCCACAGCCCCATCAAGTTCTCGGAGAAGTTCCAGCGCTACAGCGCCTTCTCTCTGGGCTACGAGTTCCACGCCGGCCACGAGTACTACTACATCTGTAAGTGACGGCCTGGAGGCGGGTCGGGGCGGGGCCTGAGAGTGCCAGGGGGTGGGGTCCCCAGGGGCCGGGGCCCGGCCAACGCTGCAGGCACTAGGTCTCCGTGATACCCCGGGATGAGGCGTGGGAGCTGGGGCCTTCAGGGTTCCAGCTCAGGGTCGTGAGGCTAAGAAAAGAGGTTTAGTGGCATTCCCAAAGGTCACAGAGTCACTGTTTCTGTGAGGGACATTTCGGAGACGGGACCTCAGGGTTCACTGTTTATTGAGGGATAGGATCCCAGGAGCTTCTAGGGCTAACGGCAGAGCCACCACGACCAATGCCCAAAGGGTGGAGGAGGTACTGAAGGACACTGCGCAAGAGGGGCCGTTTGGAGGGAGTGAGGAGAGTTTCTGAGCGAGGAGGGCACGGGGTAGAACATCTGGAGAAAAAGCGACTCAGGCCCAGTCTCCTCCCCAGCCACGCCTACCCACAACCTGCACTGGAAGTGTCTGAGGATGAAGGTGTTCGTCTGCTGCGCCTCCAGTGAGTATAATCGGCTCCCAGCCGCCACCCCATCCTTGGCTCCCCTGCTTCGGGGCTCCCCTGGCTTCCTGGGGGTGGAGGTGGAGGGCACAGGCGAGGGGGACTCGCTCCCCAGCTGTAGCAGGGGGAGGGGATCCTGGCCCTGACTCTCCCCTCCTCTCTCCCCACCCGCACCCCACCCCGCAGCATCGCACTCCGGGGAGAAGCCGGTCCCCACTCTCCCCCAGTTCACCATGGGCCCCAATGTGAAGATCAACGTGCTGGGTGAGTCTGCGCAGCGCCCTCTGGTGGCCACTGCTGGAACCGCAGCCCCCTCCCCGGTGCCTGCTCCTCTTGCATGTCTTTCCCCCGGGGGCACCGATCCTTACCACCCCCGTGGTGGTCACGTCCCCCGCTCCACTGCTGCTACCGCTGCCGCGTGTTCCCGCCCCAGCGCGCAGCCCGGCTCTCACCAGTCTGTCTCTTCATCTATCCACAGAAGACTTTGAGGGAGAGAACCCCCAGGTGCCCAAGCTTGAGAAGAGCATCAGCGGTACCAGCCCCAAGCGGGAACATCTGCCCCTGGCGGTGGGCATCGCCTTCTTCCTGATGACACTCTTGGCCTCCTAGCTCTGCCCCCTCCCTTGGAGGGGAGAGATGGGACGGGGCTGGGACAGAGCAGGGAGCCTTTGGCCTCTCCAGGGAAGCCTAGCCGTGGGGCCTAGACCCCTCCTCCGATGGCTGGAAGTGGGGTCTGCACCATACATCTGTGCTCACCCCTTCTGACCCCTCCCCACCAAGTAGGGCACTGTAGTGGGCCAGGCACAGGCACAGCCATGGGTGCCAAGTGGCCTTGTGGCTCTGGTAATGTTTGGTACCAAACCCGGGAGCTGTGAAGGGCAGTGCTCAGGACTCCCTGCCCCCCGGTACCTTTCTGTGACCCCTGGTGCCCTCCCCTTTGTCCCCCCCCCCAAGAGGCAAATGTGCCCCAGAGAGAGCAAATCGAAGTGTGGGAGACACCCCCAGGCACTCTCTTCCAGGGCCAGAACACCGGGAGGGGACTAGATGGGTGAGGGGGTGGCTCCGCCTGCTGCCCCTCCCCTGTTTACAGCAATAAGCACGTCCTCCTCCCACTCCCACTCCCAGGACTGTGGTTTGGATCGCATCCAAGTTTACAAGCAGACACCGCTGTGGGGGCCGCCGACAGTGGACAAGGGTGACAAGGGGTGGGCATTGGGGTGCCAGGCAGGCATGTACAGACTCTATATCTCTATATATAATGTACAGACGGACAGAATCCCTCCCCCTCCTTAACCCCCTGACCTCCCTTGACTTCCCCCTCCAGCTTCAGACCCTTCCCCACCAGGCTAGGCCCCCCCCATGGGGGACCCCCTGGCCCCTCTTTTGTCTTCTATGAAGACAGGACCTATGCAACGCACAGACACTTTTGGAGACCGTGAGACAACAATGCCCCCTCCCCTCCAGCCCTGAGCCAGGACCCAGCTCCCAGGACCTTGCCCTGCCCATCCTCTGTGGTCCCCGCCCATCCTCCTGGGCCTTTTTCAAGTGCTTTGGCTGTGACTTTCATACTCTGCTCTTAGTCTAAAAAAAATAAACTGGAGATAAAAATAACTGAGTGTGTGTGATTTCCAGGGGCCATCACTCTTCTGTACACTGGTTAAATAAACCCCACAGGTCATAAGGCCTGGGGAGGAGACAGGACTCTAGGGCCAAAGGGTCAACTGAACATCTTGTTCTGTAGTTCATCTCCCCTAAGGAGACACCTCTGTGTGGAGGAGCAATAAAGGCTTCTGAGCAGGGCCTGGATGACTTTGGGCAACACACTCACCCTCTCTGAGCTGCAAGTATCTCATCAGAAAATCTAGGTTATAATACATCTCTCACAGGATTGGTGTAAAGATTAAATGGCGGAGGGAATATAAGGCTCAATGATGATGGTTTTCTCCTTTCCTTCCCATTCTATTCTGTAACCAGAAGTTCTTGATTGGGGTCTATGGATTTCAGGGGGTTGTGAAACTAGATAGGAAAAAATTATATCTTTACTTTCACTTACCTGTAACTGAAATTTACCATTCTCCTATGTACGGGCAATAAGCCACAGTAGTTTTAAGAGTGCCTGTGACTTTGTAACCAACAGAAATCACAGATGTGTTCAGAATGTGTTATAGTTTTTGAAGATATCGCAAAGTATCATTTACTCTCATCACTACTTTGAAATAACCGTAGCTGTTAGATCTTGTTTTTAATGTGTTAATAAAGAAGCATATATATTACTATACCAAAAAATGTAGATGTTTTGATAACTGTGTTTCAATATAATTGGTTTCCTTTATAATCCTTGGCAATCTTTTTTTTTTTTTTTCTCTTTAAAACTTTATGGCTAGACTTCCCTGGTGGTCCAGTGGTTAAGAATCCACCTGCCAATGCCGGGGATATGGGTTTGATCTATGGTCCGGGAAGATTCCATGTGCCATGGGGCATCTGAGCCCGTGCACCACAACTACTGGGCCCGCATTCTATAGAGTCCATGCTCTGCAAACCAGAGAAGCCACTGCAATGAAAAGCCCACGCCCTAGAGAGTAGCCCCCTCTCATCGCAACTAGAGAAAGCCCGCATGCGGCAATGACGTCCCAGCACAACCAAAAATAAAGAAATGAATATTAAACAACAAAAACAAACAGAAAACATTATGGCCAAAAGGCTGAGAGTTTGCTGGTGCTGGGGCCGCACATAACTACAGCCTCCTGCGTCCATCAGGAGGGCGGGGGACAGAAGGTGAAAGATGGGACAGGGCCTTCCCTGGCAGTGCAGGGAATGCATTCCGTTGCATAAGAATCTGCATTCCAATGCAGGAGGCATAAATTCAATCCCTGTTCAGGGAAATAGGATCCCACACGCTGTGTGGTGTGGCAAAATAATAATAATAAAAAAGATGGGACCACGGTGGAAGCAGTCAAAGGTCACAGCCCCTCCCAAGCTAAGTGAGGTCAGGGTTGTTCAGGTGGGCACATTGGGAGGGCAGTGAGGGATTGCTGATAGGGGCTAAAATCTATTCAGGCGTCCCTTGCCCAGCCAAGCTCCCTGGCCTGAGAGTGGGTGCCTTTTTCTTCATTGCCTAGCTGTGACTCCATCCCAACCAGGGCACTGTGTGGGCAGGCTGGTCCTGGGCGAGCGCCCCTCCTGTGTGTCCTGGGGCCCTTACCAGCTGCATTGTGAGTCTCTGGGCAGCAGGGACTGTGTCTCCTCCCCCTCTGTACTCATCCAACACAGGAAATGGAATTTCAACTGGACCCTGGAGAGTGGGTAGATTTTCCACCAGCAGAGTTAGGGGGACGGGGGTAGGAGGGCAGGTGGGGAGAGGACCAGAGAAGGTCAGCGCAGTAGTCTGAGGCTCCTGATGTGAAGACAAGACATGAAAAGTTAGGCTCATCGATCCAGTTGTTCATGGATTCAATAGACATTTATTGGCGCCCGCTGAGTGCTAGGCCCTATCCTGAGGACTGAGGACACAAGGAAGACACAGCTTTTAGCCTCAAGCTCATAATTCAGCGTGGGTTATATGTGTGTGCTGACAGGGGAAGAGGAATCACTAACACACACACATATGAACATACAATCAGGTGTTACACTGGGCTATAGGAACAACCACACCCTACCCTGGGGACACAGGAGGAGGAGACACCACATAGCTGGGGCCCTGCTGGGGGACTTGCCTGGTGGTCCAGTGGCTAAGACTCTGTGTTCCCAATGCCAGGGGCCCAGGTTCGATCCCGGGGTGAAGTACTAAATCCTGCATGCCACAACTCAAGATCCCACGTGCTGCAACTAAGACCTGGAGCAGTCAAATAAATAAACCAAAATTAAATTAAAAAATAAAAAGTCTAAGAATGGGAAGGCTGTAAAAAGGCCAGTCAGTGGAGCGAGAGCTAGACCAAGCCAGCTTTCATTTACTCAGTGCCCACTAGGGCCCCGGCACACTGCCCATTGCTTTACGTGCATTGGGTGCACCGCTCCCTTGGAAGTCTTGCTCACCCAATAGCAAGGATGAGAAAACTTGAGGGTCTGAGAGGCCATGTCCCTCAAGGTTGGCATTCAAAGTGGATCTGCCTGTCACTGTGCTCTGAACACTGGACCCTGAACCACCACCTGGAGCCCTTCCCCACAAATCCTGATTGCCTCCTGCCACCTCATCCACCAAAGTCACTCAGAGTTCTTGGGGAAAGACATCAAAGGACCTCAGACCCGGACTGGAGGAGCCAATCTGAAGCCCACATTTTACATACATAAAAACCGAGGCTCTGAGGGAGCAAGTGACTTGCCCACAGTCACTTCGATATCCATGGCTGACCCAGGATTGGAACTCAGGGGTCCTGAGCCCCCATTTTTCCTACCAGACTGTGATGCCCCGGAGGAGAAGATCTGCATCTTCCCAGGAATTGGAGCCTGGTCTTTGAAACCTCTTAAATCCCCACAGGCAGGGATTAAGGAGGAAGCACCACACACAGCAATATCTCTTTTCATTTCCCCCCAGGCTGGGGCTTCAGGAAGCTCTGGGATGCTGCTGGGATACCCTTCAGGCAAGGCTTTAGTTTCCAGAGCAAGTAAGAGGGAGTGGGGTGAGGACTCAGCACATGATACACAGATACCATGACCCTGAGCCTGCCTTGGGGCCCGAAGATCTGCATAGCCCAGCACGTCCTGGCCCAGGCCGAGGTGAGATGAAGCCCGTGGTGGGCCAGCCTGAAAGCACGGGCTGGAGGTGCGAATGAGGGCAGGGGTGGCAGGCAGGCAGGAAAGGGGCCAGATCCAGACTCAATACCTGCTGATGGAGAAGATAAAGCAGGAAAGGAGTGCGCAGAACCACATGGACAGTTTGGCTACAGGACTGAGCAGGATACTGGGGGGGGAGGGGAAGGACAACAGTAGGATGAGGGGAAGCCAGGCTAAGGCACTTCCTTCCTGCTGCCACACCCCAGCACCTGGGATGCCCCTAAATCCTACTGATGGCTACCAGATGGTGCCCCCGGGACCTGACATACTGCTGGTGTCCTGTCCACACCCCCGAAGAACAGGGCCCTAAGGCCAGGGAAGTTCAATGTAGTGAGCTCTGCTGGCTTTAGACTGGCACCATCCCCCCACCCCTGCCCCGGCAGGGTCCTCTCCCCCTTGAGGTCTAGTTCTGGTCACCTCCACACGGGCATCAAGAGGGGTTGTATCAACACACGCCGGGATTCCCAAAGGGTCCTCAAAGGGACATCCCAGGACACGGATAGAGACGCTCACACATCCTTTCCTTCCTACCCTCCCCAGGGTGAGAAACAGCAGCCACAACTAACAACTCTACACAGATTTTGGCTGGAGGAGTGAGGTTAGAGAGTTGGCCACATCCTCCCCTTCTGGATGCGAGGTCAGCAGGGCCATTGGCAATCCAGGCTGGGCTCAAAGCCTTGTCCCTGGAGTTGGGGGCCTGCAAGGGTGGGTGTTGGCTCTTGAGGGGGGCCTGAGGTCTGCTTTGGGCTCAGCTTTGGGCTCAGCATGCTTTGGAGCCTGGGACAGGGTGGAGACCTCCCCACCCATCCTTTATCTCAGAATTTCTCTGACCCCTGACC